CATCTTGCTGGTGCCCAAATCAAAATTTAGGTAAATAATTCAGAGAAATAAATGCTCTGCATATCAAAGTGCTACAAGCAGAAAAGGTTTCAAGAGATTATTAGAAAACTTTATACTAATGCATTACTGCTAGAGGCATTCTCTTTCCAATACTCACTGAAAGGTCCAGCAGGACACTGTTCAGAAAATTACTTTGCTTATAACAAGGTCCACATAAATTGAGATTATTCAGAATAATAAGTAAGAGACCAATATGAGATGTTTTGCTTTGAACTTTTATGTCAAAGATAACCAATTGCCTACTTTATAAACACAGTTCACAAGAAATGCTTCAGGTCTTATAAAAATTAAAATTTTGGGAGAAATCTATAAAGGAGCTCGAGTTGTTCATACTTAGCGAGTCAGCAGAACTGGATTCAGTTTTTAAAGAGACCAAAGAAGGAAAGAAACTTCTTGTGAACGAGCAGATACTGGCAAAAGAACGATGCAAAATGTTACAGCTGCTGTAGTTCAAAACCAGTCAGAACCTCATGCCTCCGGGATAGCCAGAACAACCCAGGAAAATACACCCTCATGTTTCGCCCTCCTGCCAATTTATTCTTTAAGGGAAAACACAAAAAGCCTAGGTAGACATCCCTGAAATCTATCATTACAGACTGTATTTTAAAACTTGCTTTCTTGCCTTTTGGCACTGCAGTCCACGCACTTGATTTCCAAAGGCACTGAGCACCCCCCCAGCCAGTCCTGACAAACTGGACATTTTATTTAGATACTATTTTTAGAAAGCCCAGCTTGAAAACTGGCTGCTCTATTTAATTTTAAATGTTCACAACCCTCCCTAGAATTGGTTTGGTTTTATCTTGCTTTTTTATGACTTTAATTTCTGGCCACACAGACTCTTTTTCATGTTAATTTAAAACTGCCTTGCTATCTGATAAGTTTTAAATATCCTATTAAGCTCCATTTTTAAAAGACCTCTCCCCTCATCATTTATCTGCTGGTTTATGTATCCCTGAATCTGTTTATCTGTGGTGTATCTAATCTACATCTTTTCTCAGTTTCTCTCCTCCATACAAACAGTTCTGCATTTTACAATTTCATTTATAAGAGTAAATTTAAGGCACACTATAAAAGCTGGACACAATAGATTAAGACAGACTTGTATCTATATTTAGACAAGCAGATTCAACGCTAAAGTGAAAAATAAGAGGGTATTACAAACTTAAAGTACCAGCCACTCAGACCAGACTTCTCTTGCTGCTCAAATTTTCATTCTCCAATTTGTAAATATACCCCAAATCACTTTATAATGAGTAACTGAAATACAAGCCTACCTAGCATAGATTATAAATCCCTCGGGGTTCACACTAGGATATTTCAGTTTGCCTGTAGAAAAAAAATAATCTGAAATACTACATTCTGGAGTTTTATAATCTCAACAGCTAGAGAATGAATAATAGTATAAGAGTTGGGCCAACATTTGCCTGAAAGGAATT